AATAACGATACCTTTTGTTATGACCCACAAGTAAGAACATTGTATCCACTACTTAACAGATGATTTACAAGTACCTGCCGTTCTTCAGAAGTTCATGTATTTAGTATCTAATGATTAACTTGTTATTTCTCATGATAAGTGAATTTTTGAGAAATAAATGTCTTAAACCGTAAGAGTTGGCATCAGTTATTTTATTATTTATTAGTTCGGGTCATTATCAGAAGGATGGTGCGACACTCAGGGTATGATATGGAGTAGTAAATTATCTTACGCTGCCTATACACAACCAAAAATTTAGGCAATTTTAATGAAAAAATATATTGTTAATCAGTATTATTGTTACTTAACAAAATGCTGGCCTTATTTGACTTATTATATATAACTTGAAAGATAATGATAATGTCAAAGATGTTAACGTTATTTAGATAAGATCCGCTAAAAAAGTAAAACTGATGTGTCTCCCAGTTTGAAAAGCACCTGAGTCACTTCTCAAGTCTATTTCTACTTATGTTGCCTCAATTGGAAGCGAAACACGTGTATTTTCGACGGTGATGTCTTTCTCAGTATGATGGTGTTGGGATTAGTAGTGACATTAATGATGTACTCAACTGAAGTAGGGCGGGAGGCGCTCTTCAAACTAGGTAAGACGCATCATTTTTTATTTAACTAAATTATTTTAAGTTATTTAATATAATGGATTTTCGCAAAGGTACTAATGACTCCTCTTCCGCCAGACTGAATTTTTATTACGACGACCCGAAACTATCATTCTGCGCATGATAGGTTTATGGTGTCTGAATATCTGCGCAAGTACAGGTGCATTATCTATACACTCACTCTCATAATCTGATGAGATGGCGTACCGACACAACCAGAGAGAGTTTAGGTGCAGAATCAACGGCTTCACGTGCTTTCCGAGGTACAGAATTGAACCGCCAAATTCCTACCGTCGGGTTGCCTTTGAGAATTTTTTGACAGAAAAAAAAGTAACTGATTTTTTAGATTTTTGGGATTTTATGATTTGACCGGATCCCTACGATCAGCAGTCACGTCTACGATCACTAGACCGACGAAGTAGTTATTTATTTTTTTTTTAATTATTTTAACATAATGCTACAAAACTAACAGTTTTTTCTAATAGTAAAATGTATAGAACGCAAATGTTTTTAACATGTGTAAAATCATATATTTTATAAAACATTGTGCACAAGTATGAAAATAAATTGTAATCAATTAAAAATTACAGTATCTTCAAGGCAAGAGTAAATTACAGTGTACAGTCGGCTGCGTCACCACACACCTTCAGGTGGGATAGTTGTCAAGCATTGACTTTTTTTTTATAGGACAGAGTGACAACGAACACACAGTCAGGTGGACTGTGTGTTCGTTAGTCACCGTATGGTAAATGGTTGCTGTAGCCCATAGACATCTACATCTATCCTTGATACGAATCAAAATGCAGATGCGTTGTCACCCGTGACGACTAACATGGAATGCCTCTTTTCCAGAAAAAGGGTCTCCGGTTCTCTACACTCACCATACGAAACACAGCAGCATTACACACCACAAAGAAGCTGGCTTGGAAGTATAACCGCTCAGATAAATGAATAAGTGCACTAAATTGCTCAATTCAAATCCGCATTTGCTCACACTATTAATGAATTATTTTATTAGTTATTAATAATTAAAAATACAAAATATTTTTTTCCTATTATACTTAAAACCAATGAACTTCTCTAAAAACGAATAAATACCATTAATTGCTCAAGAAATGCTTAATTCAAAACCGTATTTGATCACACTATTAATTCATTATTTAATTAAAAATTAATAATTAAAAGTACAAATTTTTTTTCCTTAACCGATCACAATATTGAACAGGTGCACAAAATTGCTCACTAATTGTTCATTTCAAATCTGCAGTTGCTCACAATATTTATCAATTATTTTAATAGTTATTAATAATTAAAAATACAAAATTGTTATTTCCAAAAAACCAAAGAACTTTTTCAAAAATGAATAAGTACTCCTAATTGCTCACAAAATGCCTAGCCGTAATACGCAATTGCTCGACATATTTAATAATTATTTAATTAGTAATTAGTAATTAAAAGTAAAAAAAATCCTAAACCGAACATAATATTGAATAGGTGCACAAAATTGCTCACTAATTGCTCATTTCAAATCTGCAATTGCTCACAATATTTATCAATTATTTTATTAGTTATTAATAATTAAAAATACAAAATTGTTATTACCTTAAAACAAAAGAACTTTTTAAAAATGAATAAGTACTCCTAATTGCTCACAAAATGCCTAACCGTAATACACAATTGCTCAAACTATTTACTGATTATTTAATTAGTAAATAATAATTAAAAGTAAAAAAAATTCCTTAACCGAACATAATATTGAATAGGTGCACAAAATTGCTCACTAATTGCTCATTTCAAATATGCAATTGCTCACAATATTTATAAATAATTTTATTAGTTATTAATAATTAAAAATACAAAATTGTTATTGTCTTAAAACCAAAGAACTTTTTCAAAAATTAATAAGTACTCCTAATTGCTCACAAAATGTCTAACTGTAATACGCAATTGCTCAAACTATTTACTAATTATTTAATTAGTAATTAATAATAAAAGTACAAATAAATACACAAATACAAATAAAATAATTAAAAGTGCAGATTTGAAATGAGCAATTAGTGAGCAATTTTGTGCACCTATTCAATATTATGTTCGGTTAAGGAATTTTTTTTTACTTTGAATTATGAATTACTAATTAAATAATTAGTAAATAGTTTGAGCAATTGCGTATTACGGTTAGGCATTTTGTGAGCAATTAGGAGTACTTATTAATTTTTGAAAAAAGTTCTTTGGTTTTAAGGCAATAACAATTTTGTATTTTTAATTATAAATAACTAATAAAATTATTGAAAAATATTGTGAGCAATTGCAGATTTGAAATGAGCAATTAGTGAGCAATTTTGTGCACTTATTCAATATTATGTTCGGTTAAGGAATTTTTTTTTTACTTTTAATTATTAATTACTAATTAAATAATTAGTAAATAGTTTGAGCAATTGCGTATTACGGTTAGACATTTTGTGAGCAATTAGTAGTACTTATTCATTTTTAAAAAAAGTTCTTTGGTTTTAAGGCAATAACAATTTTGTATTTTTAATTATTAATAACTAATAAAATAATTGATAAATATTGTGAGCAATTGCAGATTTGAAATGAGCATTTAGTGAGCAATTTTGTACACCTATTCAATATTATAATTGGTTAAGGAATAAAAAATTTTATACTTTTAATTATTAATTACTAATTAAATAATTAGTAAATAGATCGAGTAATTGCGTATTACGGTTAGGCATTTTGTGAGAAATTAGGAGTACTTATTCGTTTTTAAAAAAGTTCTTTGGTTTTAAGGCAATAACAGTTTTGTAATTTTAATTATTAATAACTAATAAAATAATTGATAAATTTTGTGAACAATTGCAGATTTGAAATGAGCAATTAGTGAGCAATTTTGTGCACCTATTTAATATTCTGATCGGTTATGGAAAAAAAATTTGTGCTTTTAGTTATTAACTTTTAATTAAATAATGAATTAATAGTGTGATCAAATACGGTTTTGAATTAAGCATTTCTTGAGCAATTAATGGTATTTATTCGTTTTTAGAAAAGTTCATTGGTTTTAAGTATAATAAGGAAAAAATATTTTGTATTTTTAATTATTAATAACTAATAAAACAATTCATTAATAGTGTGAGCAAATGCGGATTTAAATTGAGCAATTAGTGAGCAATTTAGTGCACTTATTCATTTATCTGAGCGGTTATACTTCCAAGCCATCTTCTTTGTGGTGCATTACGCTACTATTTTACGCTGGTCTTCTGTGACTTATAATACATAAAAAAGTATCAGTTTAGTATATACTTTTAATGCATATAGTATATTCTATACTGTAAAGTTAACTATAAACAATGTTTCATAAGAAGATCCGCCTTAAAATAGTTTGCCATAAAAAAACATTATAAAACTAGGCAATCGCAGCACCAATAGTTTATGAGTCGCGGGGTGGAAATTGCGAAGTTTAAAGATATTGATTGATGACCAATTTTGACGGCAATTATTGATAAGCCGAGGTATTAAGTAGCTACATAGTAGCTGCTCGCTAAGACGGTTCATAGAAATTGCTCGAGTTTGTACCAGGTGCTAAGAAGGTATATTGGATGTTAAGACTCCTGTTCTTCTAAGGACGAACTCCTGGATTGATTACCCAGGAGCCTCGTCCTTACCACACTTACCTATTTTGGCTATCAAATGTTACGCATGGTTGTGCTTGCCCTTTGTGTTCTGTTCTGGGGATCTGGTATAGAGATCCGCTTTAATTACAGGTTGTGAGGCATGCTATCCTAGTCTTCAGAGATGACAACATATTAGTAGCCTTCGTTTTTTGAAGTTGACTGAAAATGTCCACGTACTACTGCAGCGACTAACTCATTTCAGACTTCAGTTTAACAATATGCATTTAAAAAAATAAGTAAAAAGTAATTATTGGTAAATTTTATGGTTTTGTACCAAAAAATGTTGAAAGCTATTTTTACTGTATATCACGTTTACTGCGTAACAGGCCGATATCGGCCTGCCGCGGTACTTGAACTGGTGCGGACGAAGAAAACTTTGTCCCTCTCGCTTGTGCGAAACGATTATCTCAGGTGTTTGTAAAAATTCGACAGAGACAAATATATATTTCATCTTGCGGTAAATGCCGTAGTTGTTCCCCATCAAAACATAACGGCAGGCTTTTATTGACCTACCACGCACTGACGGTGAAAAAACATCCGCGAGTGCGGCAGTGGGCCTATTTCGGCCCGCCCTCCCACCAGGCAGCTGGCGACCCGATACCGCACAGAGCGCGCGCCCCGCCAGTTAGTGTTGTGCTATCTAACAGCTCTGTCGTAGCGTCCGATATTATCAACAATGGCAAGCAATAAAAGAAAAATACAAATTTTGGAAAATAGAGTAATTCGCCCTGCAGTTATTGACAGTGATAGTGACAGCAGTGAAGAAATATTTTCCACTAAGAAAACTAAAAAAGGATTTGGAAACAAATGTGCACGGAAAACAAAGCACAAGCGGTAAGTTTTATTTACTACCTACACATATCAACATATCAGCCTGAGACGCATAATGACGTGGGGATTTTTTTATGTAATACCATCCTTTATGAAAAAGATTATTCTTAACACTTTCATTGCATTTTAATGATTTATTTTCAACAGTTGATGTCGAGAAAATTTAGTTTTTTTTGAACATCTTTTCAATTGAACCATAATCCGTCCGCTTTTACCCCAACACTCCTTTTTCTCGCTAAATAAGACACAATAAGAGTCACAGTAAACTTTTTTTGTCAACAGCGGACGTTTTCAGTAGCCCCAGTGGAAGAAAATTTCATATTCTTAAACCAGTCTCGTTTTCACATGTAACTAAAACAGGTATGTCTTAATTTAAATAATTTATTTGCTTTTAGTGTTATAGTTTCTGCTGAGCATCTATTGACAGATATCTCTCTCTCTCTATCTCTCAAAATTTCATATTTTATTTAATTTTTTACTTATATTACTGTAAAGTTTCATCTAAATCCGTTCAGTAGTTTTTGCGTGAAAGAGTAGCAAACATCCATACATCTAAACTTTCACATTTATAATATTAGTGTAGATTAATTTTATTCCACTTACCTTTTTTTGCATTACAGAATGTAAAAATAAACCTACACCACAGACATCAAAAGGATTGTCTTCGCCTAGCTCATCGTCATTGGAACGATTTAGTATGTATAGCTCAAGAGGATGCAGTCCTTCACTAAACAATATATCAGCTTCTAAGCTTATGCACGGCATCAAAATAGATGAAAGCGAATATCATGACTTGATAAATCTAAGAAACGATAATAAAAAAGATAAAAAAGAAAAATTGAAATAGAAAGGAAAGATCCAAAGACAAAACTTACATTCACTTATTCTTTTGAAGACAGTATGTCGCAAGGGTTAACTGAAAGTAATGAAAATTGTGTTTTTATGACGAAGAATGTAATAAACAGTTTGAAGAAAATGAAAGACAGAAAGAAACACTTAATGACGAAGCAGAGAGAGAGAGAAAGAAACAGAAAATGTTGATGTAGAAGATGTAGAAGAGAGAGGAAGAAACAGGAAATGCTGAAGAGGAAGATGAAGATGCAGAGAGAGGGAAGAAACGGAAAATACTGAGGAGGAAGATGAAGAGCAGGAAAGTGGTGACACAGGCGATGATGAGAGTGATGAATATTCTGCAAGTGAAGTTGTATCGGATATAGATAATGATGTTTCAGAGGAAGAGGAAGATGCACAGGATAATAGTGTCAATGAATGGGATGCTGTCACAGATTTGACACCTGAGTTGGATGCGTGTACTTTAAATGAAAGCACTTTTAATATTCCTATAGAAGATATATCTCCTGCAGGTATTTTTTCCTTATTTGTAACTGATGAAATAATAGATAAAATGGTTACAGAAACTAATAAATATGCGTTAAAACACATCGCAGAAAAGCAAAATAATAACGAAATAAAAACAAAATCTCGGTTATTATCATAGAAAGCTACGAATAATATAGAAATGCGGAAGTTTCTAGGGGTACTACTCGCAATGGGTCTGAACAAAGTGCCTCATATAAATGACTATTGGTCAAAAAAATCAATATATCGAAACGAATATATTGTATCTGTAATGACTCGGGATAGATTTCTGCTATTACTGAAATTCTGGCATTTTTGTGATGATTCGTCAGCCATCCACAATACAAATAAGTTGAAGAAAATTCATGATTTGGCTAATATGCTCAACAGCAGATTCCAAGAAGTATTAACGCCAGGTAAATTCATTGTTATAGATGAATCAATGATACCATGGCGTGGCAGGCTGAAATTCAAACAATACATTAAAAACAAATCACACAAGTATGGTGTTAAAATTTACAAGTTATGCACTCCAGAAGGGTATATATATAATTCAATAATTTATTCTGGAAAGGGAGAAAATGGCCGTGAACAAAATCATGGTAAAGTCACCGTACTGAAACTCATTCAAGGGCTGGAGAACAAATGTCGTGTAGTAATTGCAGACAATTTCTACTCTTCAATTGAATTGGCGGAAGAACTCTTATCTCAAAAAACCCGTTATTGCGGTACCCTAAATTCGAAGCGAAGGGGGCTACCTAAGGAGATAGTGTTACTAAAGTTGAAGAAGGGTGAAATCAAAGGAGCTATGAATAAAAATGGCGTTAAAGTTATTAAATGGGTTGACAAAAGGCAACTTCTAATGATATCTACTCTCAAAGAGGACAAAGATGTGCTTGTCAACACTGGCAAAAAAAATAGGAAGACGAATGAAGATATAAAAAAGCCTACATGTGTCTTAACGTATAATAACAACAAAAAAGGAGTTGACTTCAGCGACCAAATGTCTTCATACTATTCTACATTAAAAAGAGGGCTCAAATGGTTCAGAAAAGTGGGTATGGAATATTTGTTAGGCATGGCGTTAGTAAACGCGTGGATCACATACAACGTGAAATGTGATAAGAAGGTTTCAAAAAAGAATTTACAGAGGCATTAATGCAATCATTAACTGGAAAAAGTATATGCGCTGATAGTAAGTATAATGACGTGTAACATCACTGTAGGCATATGTAGATTATTGTTGAAGGCGATTCCTACATTTCCGTGTTTCAACATCGTCAGACGTTCTACATCTGCAACAGGTAACTATTGTCATTATTTTGAACATATTACCAGTGTTACGGTGGCTGCGCATGGTCTTCGTGCATGAGCTTTGTGCTGACTCTGCTATTTTCTGCGAGCAATGTTTGGCGTTGTTTGCACTACTGTTCTATTATGGTATGTTATGGCACTGTTTACTTACTCAATAACACATAATGCGAGTTCTTATTTCGGGGCACTCAGCTGCATTTATCATAAAAATAACGCTTTAAGTGGTCTACTTGATTGCACAAAATAGACATTAGGTCCTGTTACCACTATATTATACACCATATACATAATTTTATACCTATATATACAGGCTGTTAGGGTTATCACCGCTGTCCTTCAAGGAGGTAACTCAGTATCGTTTATACAACAAATTTCCCTATCATGTCGTAAACTCGAAAAAAAATTTTTGGCTTCCCATACTAACCGATCCGATCAACTGATTAAAAATTGTATTTGAGGAATAAACTATCTGATTTTTTTGTATGAAAAGTGAGAATATTTTTTTAAGATTTCAACATGGGTCCCATAAGGAAAGTTGTTGTATAAGCGATACTGAGTTATCTCCTTGAAGGACAACCCTACACCTATACAACATGTAATTCCAAATGCGCAAAACCTCCCGTGGGGTAACTCAGCCCATGTTACAGAACAATTTTTGTTCTGAGATTCGCAAAAAAATATTTTCACTTAATTTAAAATGACCTTATACACCGTGTAACGGAAGGGGGGGTATCAACCCTGAAGGAGGTGAATGTGCTCATGAAACTGAACAACTTTCCCCAAAGAATATAGGTCGAAGTATGAAAAAAAATGTTGGACCTCCCGTAGTAGTAAATCAATCAGCTGGTTGTCAATTTTGTAAGGGAAGGCCAATTTTTTTTTTCATATTTCGACCTATGTTCTCTGGGGAAAGTTGTTCAATTTCGCGAGTTCTGTGGTAAAACTCAATGTTTAATAAATCACACGGAATTAAGCAAAAAAATTCATTTCAGAAAATCAAGTAAAACCTAAGGACAATGACCATGTTCTTGAAATGAGCGCTAAACGAAGAAATTGTGCAGGGTGCTACGACAGACTGCGGAAAATCTTTAATAGTACCGAAGCAAAAAAAAAGTAAAGAAAATAAAGAAATATTGCAGGAAATGCAACCAAAACCTTTGCGTAACATGTTTCCAAGATAGGCATAAGTAAATAAAAACATTTTACAGTTCTTTTACGATAATTCTGTTTTATTTTCGATATCCCCTTATTTTTCTCTGTCCCGTCACTACTAAAAATACTTTCTAGTGCGGTTCAGGTCGATATCGGCCTGCCGCTTTTCCTGCTTTATTTCTCATTTCTTGTTTGGCAGATCCCGGGGCGAATCAAACCTATGAACGTTGGGTTCAAGCTCATTCTAACAATATAAAAAAAAATGTATACATTATGTTTCCACAAAGTTATAGCAATTTAATCTATCCTAGTGCTGGTGGGTCTAGATCGACCACTCACGCACTGGCGGAAACATCATTGGGGGCGCATTTTGGCCCGCCGCCGCACTAGATGAAGTATTATGATTTTACTTGCCGCAGTAAACGTGATATGTGACAAAATTTTATTACTTATATCTTATTATTTTTATTTCCAGTTGTGAAATGGTTGTAGCAATGGTTTGTACATTTACTGCTTCAACCCATTTGATTTTACACCCCGTCATCCGAACTACAGAGTAGAGATTAGAGATAGGTGTTTCCACACGTACGTTTCAAGAGGAGTTTTCTTCCGCGTACAACCTCTCTGTGGAATAGTTTACCACCGGCGATTTTTCCGGACCGATACGACCTGGGGATCTTCAAGAAAAGTGTTTACTCCTTTCTAAAGGGCCGGCAACGCACCTGCAATTCCCCTGGTGTTGCGGTTGATCATGGGCGGCGGTAGTCACTTAACATCAGGTGAGCCGCATGCCCGTTTGCCCCCCTCTTCTATAAAAAAAAACACTGCACGTTTTACGTGACTGGAGTATTTTCAAACGTTAACTACAAAAGCTGTAAGTCTCACACTTTAAAATTAAGTATTTAAGTTTGTAAGCTACTTCATACCATGACATTAATTTTGTGTTTATAAAGGTGTCCTTTATTCATTTTACAATTAATTTAATTTTTTTTTAATTCAGACACATTTTGTAAGAACTACTTATTCATTTGCACTGCTTAACTTTTACTCTGACAGTCTTCATTGAATATTTTATTAAAGAATGACAGAAGGAAGAAATAAAAAAGGAATGGCATCGTTGCTGACTACATATAAGTGTTCTTCTTCTTCCATTACCGTAACAGTCGGTTAAAGTGCACTGATGAACATAGGCCTCCCCTTAAGATTGATTAGGGGAATATTTGTCATGGTTGCCATGCTTGGCAAATTGGCAACCGCAATTTTTTTTATTTTTAATCGTTATTACGAAGACGCTGCAAGTCATCTCCAGATTTGTTTTTCTCTACGCTTCTTACGACACCCACGAGATGATATACTCGTAGGATAGCAGAATATTCTTACACCGCCACAACGCCATAGTAAAACAGAATAGCACGATGCCCAAATAGTATATTAATATTTTTGTTGGGAGAAGAGGCAATATGAACAAGAATCAAATATTAAAACATATTAAATATCTAAATAACTTAAATGTGCATAAAGTTAATTTGTTTACAATGCCTTACATAGGGGGGGTGGACACAGGAAAATAAACTAAGTTATAATTTAAATTTAATCATGAACAATTTGACATGTAATAATAATTTAAATTTGACAATTAATTCTAAGAATTATAATGATAAATATAATTTGACTGATATTAATAATTTAACTAAGAAGTTTCTGACAAGAGATAAGTATCACCTATCAAAGTATAATTTAAGACTGGTAGGCAAACACGCTATCTTATTATTTATATTTTAACCCAGCCAAACTTTTGGCTACCTTGACACTTGCTTCTATTGAGCAGCAAAATAATTTTACAAATGATTTGGAATCAGTTCCAAGTAATTTAAATTAGATAAGACAATAGAGGTAATCTCTAGCAAAGATAATTTGAATACCTTAGAATATAAATCACTTATACTTAACTGTGTAATTTCACAAAATAGCAATTATAAAAACTGTATTTTTGGTGCACCAGGTTATGCACCAAATATACAAGGTTTGTTAGACATAGAACTAGTACTGAACATCGGTTAAAATATTACAACTCTATATTTAATTTCAGTAATCACCAGGTGGTCAGTTATTTCAATATAGATACTAAAAAGTTTGGAAAATCCATAAGTGCACGCCTCATAATCTCATTTGCTTATACAAAAAGAAAAATATCTATTTTTCCATATTTGAGACGAAAGAAGAGATCCATGAGAATATTTTTTTTTTTTATTGTAGAAAGGTACCAGTTATTTTTTACATTTTTATTAATTACAATCAAACGAGACCAAATGAATCAGTGATTTTTAAAAGGAACCTGTGCGTTGAGATTTTAAACCTAATACAAAAAGAAATATTTTGATTAATGTATCAAAAGATTTTAAACCTAATACAAAAAGAAATATTTTGATACATTATTTCTAATGACCTTTATCGTGCACCATCCACACATACAGATATCCCGACACCCTTGAATTTTTTTTTCAATCAGTTTTTTTACACTAAATACAGAAAATTACTTTTAAAAATAATAGCAACAGGAAAACAAGTGATTTTTCTCGATATATGTGTATTTTTATTATTCTAAAAGTGCAATAGTAAAAATAAATAAAGACATTTTTAGCTCAGAAAATAACTGAATTTCCATTAGGTGAGAGTAGAGCACAACCTCAACACTTCGCTTATGAGACGTGCAATTACGTGGTGGCTCCTTAATATTGGCTAATAAATCCATATCATATAAAAAACGTAAAGATATTGTGAGCCTGTTGATCGAACTGTAGAAATGGCATGTGTTGAGCTTCCCGTGTTCGAGGTATGTACCTTTGAAAAAACTTTGGAAAAATTTTAGTTAAGCTTAATAAACAGAAAACAGAATTGCTTTGCTTCTGTTTCACTACACCAACGACGGAGTCAAATTCAAGAATTTGTCTTACCAAGAGAATCGCCCTGTGAGTCGCCGAACCCAGACCACACTAAAAACATATGCACTGCCTACTTTACCACGACAGCTTTCGTAAGATTGAATTTAGAACATGGAACACTTGGACAAATATTTCTACCTTATATCGGAGTTGTGTACCACGACCTATTCCGTGAACTAAAACTAAGTTTTATACCTATTATATAACTTAGTATGAAACTAAGTATAAATAATGAATAAAATTATCTTTATTAAAAACATGTTGTGATGTATGTACTCAGGTTTTTAAATTTATTGACTACATACATTGTACTAACTAAACCATTAATAACCAAATATTGACGGTTACAGTTTCAGATCAGTATAGTACTGAAGTAAATAATCTTGCGATCGATATTACTGAGACTAAATTAATCTCGTACTGCGAAACAATAATTAGATTCTCTGCATACTGTTTGTCGAGCCGTATCTGTTTAACATACAGATATACCGACTTACGTATTTGACGTTGTCGTGAAATACATATAAGTCAGTATATCTCTATATAATTTTAGTATATACGCAAAACTCACTTCAATAAAACATTTAACTATCTTCATTATTTTATTATTGAAAAAAAGGTTTTACAGTTGTCCATTCAACACATGTAACCTGCACCACCCATGATTCATATTATTTTATTATAAAACCAGACGAGTATATTATGTTTATACTCGTCTGTTTATATAGATTACTATAACACTTCTTAATAA